AACACTCATTTTACATACAGCATGCAATGAAAATGACATGAATATGACAGCGGGCAAATGCATAAAGCGCAGCATAATTTGAAATCACTAGTTTAAAGTTTGTCGATCGCGCGTTTCCAGTCAAGCAGAACTCTCCTCCTGTCGGCATTCAATTTGCACAGACCGACCGTCACACAGAGAACACGTGATCATGCAGGATACAAATGCACACTTAAACTAGATTCGACTAAGTCTGCAAGGTTTGTGAAATTAAATGTTCATTAGTCATTCAAAGATTTGTTTAAATGATATAAATGCGTATTTGCTGAATGCTGACGGCAAACGCGAAAGTATTATAATGTTTGCCTTTCTATTACTAATAATATTAAAGCAATCGTTATAATACTTTTTGTATACATTTTAATTCCTTTGTTTAACAGTTCTATCTGATTATTAGATAGACTTCTATCCATATTAGACAGAACTGAACGACGACACTGCTCACATTCTCCCTCTTGTTCGCTACAAGAGGGAGAATGTGAGCACTGTGTTCAGGCGCTGTTGTTCACTCGCGCAGTCAAAATAAAAGTCCCGCCTCGAACACATCGGCCAACCAGAAAAACGTATTGGCCGATGCCGATATTTGAAAAATGGCAAATATCGGCATTGGCGATATATCGGTCGACCACTAATTTAAATCCCAAAATCATCTTTTTTTTTTGGTCTGTGCTGTTTCAGTTGATGCGTGAATAAAACTTCACAAGTCAGTATATAGCATGGCTCCCAATCAATAATCACAGTAAGCTTTGTGTTTTGTTTCTTTCGATTAGAAACAAAGTCTCATCTTTCAAATTCTGCCCATCCCATCAGGAAGTTCAGGAAGTTTGTCTCTCTTTGACAGTGTTGGAGAAAGTCACTTTTAAAAGTAATGCATTACAATAATGCGTTACTCCCTAAAAAGTAACTCATTATGTTACTTATTTTTTTATGGAATGTAATTACATTACTTTTGGGTTTCTTTTTCTCGTCTGGGCTGCTTGGTTTCACAAGTTTAAGTGAAATAAATAAGCCTCAGCCTGAAGGAAATGTAATTTCACGTCTATACAGTAGAGGCCGCAGCTCAAACTAACCTTCCAGCTGTGCTGCCATTATGGATTGCGTGAAGAATAGGATGCAAGAGAAGAAAGTTCAATACTCTTCAGCAATAGAAAAATGAAAAACAAAAGTTATGTTTATCTGACGTCATTTTTGCTTGTTAGTATGGTCGAACTGGATCATCAAAGGTGAACAGCAAAGACCTTAATAAAAATGGGATTAAATTCATAAAGGATATTTGTGTTGTTTAGAATATTTAATTATTGCAGGTTTGTGTCTTGTTCTATTCTAATTCGTTACCCCCAACACAGTTTTTTGATGTGGTATGACAGATCGCTGTAAACAATGTCGCATAGCATTACATTTACCTCAGGCAAGTCATCCACAGCTCGTTATTTCGCTAGAGTAATTAATATATACACCATTTTAGCCTATTTAACTTGCAAGTGATGTCTTATTTAATGTATGTTTAACAATTTGGAATTATAATCAAATTTATTTAAAAGACAGACCTTATCATGTGTTAATGTAAAAAATCTTGTGTAATATAACGTGTGTTTGTTTGTTTGCTGGTTTTTATTGTATTTGTTATACTTGTAATTGTTTTGCCATGAAAATAGCCTAAGATGCTGACATGGCATTTAAAAAATATATACTACTACTATTTAAAGACAGAGCCACAATTTGTTCAGTTAAACCACTTTAATAAAAATGTAAATTTTTCCACCCTGCTATATTGAAAACGTGGACCGAACCATCATTTTTTTGATATCTAATAGATAGAACCATCTTTAAAACATAACTTGATGGTGTTGGC